CTTAGCTGGTCCCATGGCGCTCAGGTAACCTTAACCCCAAGTCTCTGGATCCCCAGCCCGGGAGCCTGAAACCATAGCAACCCTGCCCAGTTTGGAACCAGACCAAGTTTCCCTCCCAACTGGCCTTGTGCTAGCTCGGGCCTTGTCTCAGCCAGAATTTTCAGAGCCTGCTGAGTCTCTATTTTTCCAGTCCACTTATTTGAGCAATAATTTTCTAAAGTACCCATTTGTTAATATTACGTACTTTCTCCCTAAGTATGCTGTGAACTTCTACAGCCAGTGGATCATTCCCTTTTGTTGCCTAGCAAAGTGCTATGTCTATAGTAGGTGCCCCACCCCCAATATTTCATAGCTAAAAAGAGAAGTCAAGGTGAGTTAATAGTCAAGTTTAAGTCCAAGTCTGGAGATAAGACCAAGGTTAGATTAAAGCTGTCATGTAGAACAGTTAAGACGCGTGGAGGATCTAATTGTATCAAGATAGAGCTGCGCCAAGGCTTTATGAGCTCTTTTTTTGGTTAATGTTTAAGTTGAATTCCTTTCACAAAGAGATATTTTGTCCCCAGTTACGCTCAAGTTTCAAGTCTCAGTGACCTGGGCTTTAGTAAGTAATGTGGGTCTCCCTGCCAAAATCCAATGTGATTTTACAGACTTTGTGCCTGTACCCGCCTTGTTTTTCTAGATTGCAAAATCCTAATCTCTGTACCTTGAGAAGTTAATTTCTCTTACTGCCAATGGAGGAGATAAGACTAAAGGAGAGGGGAGATGCCCTGGCTTTGCTGGAGGTGCGATGCAAACATCTGGGCGAGCCGCACAGCAGAAGAGCATCCTGAGTGCCATTCCCAGTGAGTGGAGTCCTAGATCTTGGCCAGCATTGGCTGCATCCCTCCATGGCTCTGTTGGTCTCACTATGGCTTTGCTCTCCATGCCACAGGAAAAACACTTGGCACTTGCTGACATCCCGAAGAAGGGAAATTTGGAGCTCTGTCAGTAAGCAAGCTAAGTCCTAAATGTTCACATCACAGCTACAGGGCCAGGAGCCTGTAGCTACACCCAGAGAGGACCAGCTCTCACAGTCACTTGTCTGGCCCAATCTAAGCCTTCTCAACTCTTCCAGGCACCAAGCCCTCCTGGGCTGTGATGGTGATTCTGCAGCTGCAGAATCAGTTGTAGGAGGATAGGGATCCCATAGGTGGCCAGGATCTAGGGCAAACAGCTGACAATTACTCTAGAGAAAACCCTCTCAAAGGAGCATCTTGGCCCAGAAAGTTGATGGTTTAGATTGGAGCATTTTTTAGTTGCTGCTTCTCAAGCAGGTAGAGGGACGAATGAATGGAGGCATCGGAGACCCAGAGAGAGAGGAAAGCCAGCACCTCCAGGGTGGGGTAAACCCCAGAGCCACCAGGCCCGCCTCCCACAGAAACCAAGAGAAACCACACCCTGCGTCTCCTCTCGCCATGACTGCTCACTGTTCCCTTGCCCTGGCCATCCAGGCCCTACGTGCCCCCACTCCCGCGCAGGCCTTCCCCACCCACAGGACTCCTGATTTCCCTCGCTGCTTACATAAGATCTTCACAGCCTTCCTGCCTCGCTCCCCTGGCTATGAAGCATCCTCATGATGCTGAGAGCTACTGTTCTAGCTGAAGAATGCACTGAGGAAAGACAATACCTTCTGGGTGCTCCCTTCTCCACCTGCCGCCCACATCCATTGGCACTGACAGAGAAGGTCCAGTCCCAAAGTGGGGAAATAGGAGGCACAGGGCACTCCAAACCCTCGGTGCTGCTCAGACACTGACACACAATGAATCCCTGAGGGTCTTGCTAAAATGTGAGTTCTGGTTTACCAGGCCCGGGGCCAGCCCGAGTCTGTGATCCTAACAAGCTCCAGGGTGATACTGAAGTTGCTGGGCCGCCAGACCACACTGTGAACAAGGGACAGGACTGCGCAAAAGTGCAGATGGAGAAAAGGGGACATAGGGACTGTAGGAAGTAAGGGCAGGGAGAACAAGCTCGGGAGAGAGCTGTCCTGATGGTGTTCCAGCTGCATCGCCTTATCTTCACAGGCTGCCCGGCAGGTTCTTCCCAGGCAGGGGATCTCTATGGCCCACGAGCTGGCTACAGGGGGGTGCTTTGGTCCTCCCTCCCCTTGTTCCAGAGTCGAGCACTCAGCTTCCATACATGCAGCTGCATGCCACATGCCAGGGCCTGGAGACCTCCTCATACCTTCCCTCTGTAAGCAGTTATGTCAGGGAAGGGAGCCCTGCCTTGCTGGGACCCACCGCCAAGCTGGCTCTGGCTCCTGGTTCCAGTTAGGCCATAGAACAGCAGGATCCGCCAGCTGGCCCCAGGTACGACTGAGAGGCCTTCTCCTCCTCCCTGGCTTCACCCGTCACTATTCCTCATGGCCTAAGAAAGGACCTTCTTTTTCTCCAATAGCAACTTCCGTTTGTGTAGTGCTTAGTGTGCCCACAGGCTCTGGGCAAAGTTTCCACATGGTTTACTCACTGCTGTTACCCTTTGGAGTTTATCCCCTTTACGAGGTAAGGAAACCAAGGCTCCAGAGACCAGGTGACCAATACCACTGTTGCCTAAGATCACTCAAGTCAGTGCCCTTCCCAACCTGGCACCAAACTGTGACTGAACATCACTCCTGTGAGGCCAGGACCTCGTGGAACCTAACCTCAGGACAGAAGTTTAGACGAGACAAGGTCATGGTAGGTTCATCTGGCTTATGACCCTCTACAGGTCAGCAGAAAGTCAAGCTGTTACTGCCCTCTGCCAGCTTCCCTGGTGACCCTGAGTAGAGGAATTGCAGGTGGTTATGAACTGGGCCCACTAGCCTAAGCAGAGGTAGCCCCAAATCTGTGTGAGTAGCTGGCCTGCCAGGCAGTGAATCAAATGGTGCCTGTTCACCTGCCCATTCCTGAAAGGAACAGTGTCCTGGAACGACTGTGGCTCTAAATCTAAGTGCCCAGAGCACTGTGCTAGACTTTGTAGGAGGATAAGACATACCCCGCCCCTCACTCTTCATTTTCTTCAAATTGAACATCTGGGCACATAAAGTCACCAAGCTGTCATGAGAACTGCACTAACCTGGGGAATTCTGCTCCAAGTTGCTTCACTTACCTGTTCCAGTTAGTTGTAACCTCTCAGTAAGAAAAATCTACTGCTCTCTTAAAAAGAAAACTAAAAAAATCAAAGATCCCATGAACCCTTTCATTTTGAAAAAATACAGGGCAACATCTGTGACCACTAGTTTGCAAGCTGCTCCTCAGTACCAAGCCCTGTCTTTTCCTGTTGTGTCCTCAGCACCTCACAGTTCCTGGTAGAGAGGAAGTGGCTGACGTGTTTCTGGCACAATGACCAGGGGACACGCATCCAAAGGCAATGGTCTGGAATCTCCATCATACACAGTGCAGCCGAGGTTAATTGGGGAGGATTTTTAACCTTGGAAATGACTGAGAGGCATACTTGTTAAGAAAATCCTTACAAAGCAGACAGATGGTTTGATCAACTCTTTGTGGATTGGACGGTAGAAGTGCTGAGAGAAGGCTGATTTTAGATAAAATATACATTGACCAAATTGACCTTCGTCCCCCTACCCCTATTACCTTTATCTCCACCTCTCTTCACTGGTCAGCCCTAGAGGCATTTGGCTTTCATACTTGGTAAGAGGAATTCAGGCTTTACCTAATGTGAGTCCCAAATACACAACCTATTACCTAAGCATCTTACCCAATGAAAAAGAAATGAAATAGAATACATAATGGATTGCTTGGCACGTCTGACAGAGGGTTAAGAAAAGTTCTTAAATTATCATGGGGTTTTAGATGTTCTCTAAAAAGCACCAGAATATACAATTACTGTCAATGCAGTTACACAGGGAGACTGACTTTGGCTTAATAAGCAGTATTTCTGTAGTAATCCCAACGGGAATGAGATTATGAGTCTGAATGTCAAATACAACAGCAGGCCTCATTCCTTGTGGGTATTTAAGAGAGAGTGCCCGCTTTAGGATCCTCTGACTACATGCACAGCATGGAAAACTACACTTGCAACATATATTAAAAAGAATGTGGCTGTTCTGCATGAATGTGGGAAGAGATAACAGAGTGGAAATGAGAAACATTATATGATGGGAACCCGAGATTTTATAAAGGAATATATATGTTGATATGCTCTGAACTCTTCTGGAAGGGTATACAAGAAACTCAGACTATCTTAGGGACTGGACAATAGGACCAAATGTTTACCCCTTCCCCTCCACCACAACCTTTTCACTCTATATCCTTACATTTTTTTTTTTTTCTCTTTCCCTTACTAGCAGCATTACTCTTACAAAAAAGGACCAAATGATTTGGTTTGGCTAAAACCTGGTCTGAGCTTGGCTCTGTAAACACTATCTGGGATAAAGCTGAATCTCCTCACATCTTCATTGTCAAAATCCTAGAACTTTAATTAGGGTAATGACTCCCCAGTCTACTCTCCCATTACTAAATGCACTTAACCTTGGAAGCTGCTTCAGATCATCCACTCTTTGTCCCTCCTTTCCTTAGTCCTGATATTGCTTTCCACATGCATGCACTCCATGGGTGATGTCTGTCAGCCTCAGGACTCTCAGATCTTGTCCCAACACAGACTCAATCTCTCTCTCCAGCCTAGGCTCCCTCCCCAACTCCAGACCCAGTTACTACAACTGCCTATTCAATAGCTCCACCTGCTTGTCAGATAGATACCTAAAGTTTAACACATCCAATCCTGAACTCATCATACTCAATAAATCTGCTCTACCACAGCCTTCCTAGTCTCAGTTGATGGCATTTCTAGGTTTCTAATCATCTAAGCCCATAACTTCAGAGTATAATATGACTGGAAAGCAGAGCCTGTCCCACAATGCCAGTTATCTACAAATGAAGGCAGTCCTAGGATCAAAGATACATACTCATTAAAATATTTTCTAAAATGCTTAAAGGTAACTCATTTAAAGGCTAAATTTTAATTTGACTTTTTTTTTTTTTTTAAATAGAGGCATGTTTTATTTATTTGTTTGTTTGTTTTGTCTATACAAGCACTGGGTACAGTCAGAAGCACGGGAGGGTGAGAGAATTCACCAGAGCCAGAGCGGGGAGCAGAGCAGGCAGAAGGACCGAAGTACACTGCTGAGAGGAGCAGCGGGCAGCAGGAGAGGTCTGCGCGCCATGTGGGACCCTCCTCCGGTGGCCGGGGAGCAGCAGGGGATCGAATCGGTGCTGCAGAGGCTGCGGGCAGCTTCGCAACCCAGCGCTCAACCGCTGCGCCATTGGGGAGGCCCTAATTTGACATTTTAATTTTTTTTTTTTTTTTTACTGTAAGTCAATTTTTGCAAGCTAGGAAACAGAACCAAAATAAAGCAGTATAGCCTTCTGGGATCCAGGCCAAATGTGATCTTCAGCAGAATTTCATCATAATACAAGGTGCTAACAACAGGGTTATAAACCCTATCTACATTTTTCCTGAAGAAACAGACAAAGTCCAGTCCTTAAAGGCATGATATACAGAACACCTTGATCTACAAAGGAGAGAGTGACCCAAATGATAGGCTGGCCAACCTACTGGTGGACCAGATCAAAGCTGGCCAAAGATTAGAGAAGAGAGAAAGTGTTTATGGTTCAGAAACTTGCTATGAGGTTTTGAAAATTCCTGGTTGCTACTAATAACAAGTTAAAAAAAAAACACAGATGCACTCACGGAAATTTGATTTTGCCAATGTCTTCTACTAGAACATGAAGTTAGAAATGAGTGTAGAGGATAAGATATTTAGATATTTTCAAAATTAACAGTAAGAAATTTGACATACAGCATTCTTCCTTTTGCCACAATCACAAACTGCCAATGAAGACTATTTTAAAAAAGAACTGCTAGAATCTAAAGTGGGTTGGTGGCAGCAACGCTTTGCACTACAGATCACTCTCCCGCTTCTCCATACAATTAATTAACACTGCTACTCTTCCATGATACATCTTCATGTGGAAAAACTTGTGAGGAGCTTTTGCCAAGAGCAGGAGATGAAAATTAGAGCATGTCCTAATTAGCCAATTATAAGCTCAGTTAACATCTTTAGGGTGGACCCATAAAATCTGCCCATTGTGCTAATAAACATCTGCAAACTGCAGGATTCCTTAGCCCTTAGCCAAAGTTTCTGCACAATGTCTGAAAGCTACACTCAGTCCCATCTGTGGCTCTTCTCCTCAGGGCTGAGGTGGGTGCTAGTCATCAAAATCTGGAATGTCGTCGTAGGAGTAACCCCGGTAGCCTTTGGATGCATAGTAGGCAATGCGCAGGTGGTAAAATCCAGGCAGGAACACCAAGATGCCAATGATCAGGACAGGAACGGCCCGGTCTGCCCCCTGGTGGCAGAAGCAGGCAAATGCATTAGTACATAAGCAGTAAGTTTTAAAACAGTCATGGGTCCAACTCATCAATTTTATACTTCTATATACAGTATCGTACACTTTTCAGGGCATTTCTGTTGGGTTGTACACAACCCAGGGAAAGGGTGCATCTACTTTCCTCATTATTATAAACGGTAGAAAAACTGCAAAGTACTAAGAATTATAAAGAAAATAAATTATCCATTCTTAGCTACAGATATTTTGGCTTATTTCCTTAGGCTCCTTCTTGAAAGTTTTTATATATAAAGGCACCCTACATTGTGCCTTGTTTTGTCTATTATAACTACCAAAATATTGAAAGCTCTTTATATATTTAATTTACAGTGGTGGGCCTCCCCTGGTGGCGCAGGCGGTTGAGTACAGCGCTGTGAAGCTGTCTGTAGCCTCTGCAGCACCAGTTTGATCCCGGCCAGCCAGCATCCCCATGGCACAGCAGACCTTTCCTGTCTCGCCAACTGCTCCCCTCAGCTGTGTATTTTGTCAGTCTGCCTATTCTGTTCCCTGCTCTGTCTCTGGTGAATCTTCTCACCCTCCCTCGAATCTGGCCTGTACCCCAGTTTTCGTATAAATAAATAAATCTTTTTAAAAATAAATAAATAAATTGCAATGGTGTGTAACATCCCATCGTAAGAGGCACCACAGTTTTAGCCCCCAGGCCCTGGACTCTTGGATACTTTGGTTGTCTTTTTGTAATTGTTCAAATTTCTGCAATAAACGTATTTTCATTGGCCTTTCAGATTATTTTCATCGTGTTGACTCCTATCAACAAAATTCACAGGTCAAAGAGGGAGGGAATAGAGTTTAGGGTCTTGTTATTACAAAGGCTTCAACTTTTTGGGGGGTTCCATGAAGGCAGAACTTTGTTCATCCCTGAGTCCCCCCAGCTTTGCACAACATAAGACAAACAATATATGTGATGAATGAACGGAATCGCCTTTCTAAAATTGCTGATCTCTGTTGCTGTTTCAGGTGCAGATTTAAATGTTTGTATAATTAAAGGTATCCTTTTCCTTTATGATTTTTCCCATTGTTTTTAAGCTTAGGAAGATTTCCCTAATTTAAAGATTTAAACCCAATCTAAAAATCTCCTTTTACCAGAGCTCTAATACAATGTATATTGATCAGTTACCTAATCAATGTAATTCTGGCTGCTTTATTCACAAAAAATACAGGAATATTTACTCTTATTTCTTTTTTTTTTTAAAGATTTATTTATTTATGCATACAAGAGCTGGGGTACAGGCCAGAGTTGCAGGGGGTGAGAGGATTCACCAGAGACAGAGTGGTGAACAGAACAGGCAGATCTACTGAAATACACTGCTGAGGGGAGCAGCAGGTGAGACGAGAGGTCTGCTGTGCCATGTACGTTAGCTCCCTGACCAGCGAATTGAACTCATGCTGCAGAGGCTGCGGATTGCTTCATAGTGCCATGCTTAACCTCTTATTTCACACGAGGTAAATACTCCTAAAATAAATGAGGTGATGATGAAAATTAAGTGGTCTCAGCTGGCATGCAATGACTCATTAATAAGTATGTGCTTAAAACCAAAGGCAAAGAACTTGAAGCAGCTTCTTCTTCAAAGATGGGGTATGTGAACATCAAAAAGAATAAATTCTATAACTCTCACACCTGACATACTTGGTGCTATTTCTGTTATCTTGAACTCTTACAGTGCAGTTAGCCTTCTTACACTTAGCATTAATAATGCCTTTATTGGGGCCTCCCTGGTGGAGCAGCGGTTGAGCGCTGGATTATGAAGCTGCCTGCAGCCTCTGCAGTGCAGGTTCGATCACTGGCTGCTCCCCGGCCACCGAAGGAGGGTCCCACAGGGCGCGCAGACCTCTCCTGCCGCCCACTGCTCCCCTCAGCAGTATACTTCGGTCCTTCTGCCTGCTCTGCTCCCTGCTCTGGTTCTGGTGAATTCTCTCACCCTCCCGCGCTTCTGACTGTACCCAGTGATTGTATAAATAAATAAATTAATTAAATCTTTTTTTAAAAAATGCCTTTATTTTGAAGCTATTATATGTATAACGTAGAATAAAGCAAGTCGGCAATTATAGTAATATCAGGATAGACACATGTATATAAATTAAAGAAATTAAGTGCAAACACAATCTTAAAATTGCATTGGAAACATCTATATCTATATGACATATCTATATCTACCTATATGTTCTTTTCCCTTGTTTTCTACAAGATATTTCCTGATTCTGTCACTGAAATGGCCTAAAACAATGAAAACAAATAGCAATGACCACCACTTAGTTCAGTTGGCAATCTCTAAATCCACCTGCCATAAAGAAACCAGGTTTCCTTAGAGAAAAGGCTGTTTAGAGGGGCAGGAAATGTATAGCTGAGCCAAGGATGGCTTGCAGTGCCAAACCTGGGCAGGTTCAAAAGACTTAGGAGTAACCTGAAGCAGATTGGAGGAATTTCTTTATAGAATTTTGGCAGATAAATGAGAAAATGATAGAACTGGATTCATTCATGAAAAAGTGATGGGCAAGCTTTTAACAAATTAGGCTGAAGACACTTGACCCAGTAACCAGTCTTAATATCACTACAAGTTAGAGCATGCACCTCTTAAAATGTAACGCTATAGCAATGGTTCCCAAAATGCAACCCTTGGACCATCAGCTTTGCCTGAGAACTTGTTAGAAATGCCAGTTCTCACATCCCACCCTAGACCTCCAGAACTGGAATTGCTGGGAATGAGGTCAAGGAAGTTGTGTTGTTAACAAGTCTGCCAGATTATTCTGATTGACACTGAAGTTTGAGAAACCATGTACTGTTGCAAATACACTGCACCTCCTATGAAGTATTTTCCAAATCTAAGCAAAGCCCTAAATTAAGTTCATAAGAAATATGAGGAACAGAATAAGATAAATATCAAGATTGTACTCCTAAATTTATGTAAAAACTGATGAGATGTATACTAAAGAGAAACACTTAGGAATTTACAAACAAAATATAAACCTGGTATCTTCTTTAATAACAGGAAAAAAAGGTTGGTGGGAGAGAGAGAAAGCAAAGTGTTTTCAACTGTTGATGCTGTGTGATGGACATATGGGGGTTCATTATCTTATTCCAATTCTCTTTTGTTTGAAATGCTTTAACAAAAAGTGAAAGAGACCTAAACTAAAAGACAAAACAGTATCTATTAGTGATTTTTCTTTTTCTTTTTTTTAAAGATTTACTTTAATGCATACAAGGACTGGGGTGCAGGCCAGAGATGGGGGAGGTTAAGAGGATCCACCAGAAACAGAATGGGGAGCAGAACAGGCAGATCTACTGAAATACACTGCTGAGTGGAGCAGCAGGCGAGGCAGGAGAGGTCTGCTGTGCCATGTGGGTCTGCTCCCTGGCTGGGGATTTTTCTTAATTAACATCTTTAGTCTGATTTATAAAGTAATTTCTTATATACCACAAAAGAAAAAAAAAATCTATATATACATATACACACACAAACATAAACGACAAATATCTGGTGGCATGTGCAGTTCACTTCCTTTCTCAATTTTTATAATATCCTTAATAGGCTCCTTATTATACCTGGGACTAATACTAGATGCTGTAGTGAACATTAACTGGAGGCACAGGCCTCAAGTTAGCTGTTCAAACTCAGACTCCAACAAGTAAATGTCTGGTGGTCACATAACAGTTTTAAATAGTTAAGGAACTAAAGAAAATAAGTTAACTTTTTTTTTCTTTTTTAAAAGATTTTATTTATTTATATATAGAAAAACTGGGGTATAGGACAGGGGTATGGTGCTAAGAGGATTCACCAGAGACAGAGTGGGGAGCAAAACAGGTGGATCTACTGAAATACACTGCTGAGGGGAGCAGTGGGCGAGAAAGGAGAGGTCTTACTATGCCATGTGGGTAAGCTCCCTGGCCAGGGATCAGCTTATGCTGCAGTGGCTGGTGATAGCCTGGTAGTGCTGACTTAACCCCTGTGCCACCAGGGAGGCCCTGATTTAACTTCCTAAAGTCCTGTGTAGTCATTTTATTGTGAGAGGACCCATCCCAATTCCTAGAAAATGCCCAGTTTCTGCTCTTGGCTGTGTTCCTTCTGCAGAGCAATGTAACTATCAGCCCTTGGCCTGATTTTTCTTTATTAACATCTTTAGCCTTCAGTCTAATTTATTATAAACTTTCCCATCACCTTTTGCACAAATGAATTCAGTTCTATCATTTTTGCATTTATTTGCTATATACTCAAGAATGGATGTGCATTGTGGTCAGCATTAGTTCAGAAGTACTTAGGCCTTAAGTATAAGCATCTGTATCCTGCCCAAGAGGAAGAATCACTAAATACCACTTTAGGTTTTTAAGGTATCATATTGAAGCTCCAAGAACCAGCCAATCCATGAGCCAGAAGTGCTTTTGGGCAATGATCCATGACCTTTGCAAGCTTCACCACTTTTCCCACACACACACTAGTATGTGGGACACTGCAAAGCTGCAACAATAGCATCCTTCTCCAGTTACAGCCTTTACCCATCACAGTCCTCAATGCCAGGCTCAGCTTTGTTGTTCCTATATATGGCAGTGGGAAAATTGCCCAGCATCTCAGAAAGAAAGTTCACTACCATCCACCTTGGAGAACCTGTAGAAGTTTGTTGTTGTTCAAAAGAAACACAGGTTTGGTTATCAGAATGAAATCTAAAAGAAAGCCCTCTTTTTTCTTTCTGCTGGAGTGCACAATGCTAGATATGAAAATAAAACAATAGAACCCTGGCTCACATTTTAAAGATCTCAGGACACATTTGCACAAGCCCTTCAGCTTACCCCTTTGCTGATATAGCCCGCCAGCAGGAGGGAACCTATGATGATGAGTAAGGCGCCAATCAGAAACAGCACAGTAGCAAGTGCAATGGCCTTATATGGGATCTTGGGAGGGCTTTTCTTAAACTGGAAGAGAAAAAAAATAAGACAAGGAGAGCATAATAAAAATACCAGGGTTCGCACACTTTAAAGCACAGCGGATAGTAAGAACCAGTCTGGAAGCTTGAGTTGTCTTGAAATGAGAGAAAGGACAGGGACTGGCGGGAGACAAAGTTCTAGCTATTGTTCCAGCTATTGCTCAACAGTCACTGGTAGGAGTCCCAGGAGAATGCTACTCTTTCTAGTTCTAGTCTCATTCCATAGACCATTCACTGTGCTGTAAGAAACTATTTCCTAACTAAAAAAACACTCTTTGCTTATTCATTAATAAATGTTTGGCACATGGAAGGCTGTATTTATTTACAAGGATTCAAGAGTGAACTCAATGGTAAGTCAGCATATAGGCAAAAGTTTAGAACAACTTTTTCTAATGTATTAGTTGCTTGCCCCAAGGAGTAAGTAAACTGCTTCATGAAGCAGGTTAAGATTTAGAGACAACTTTCTAAGGTTTGGCTCGTGGCTGTATCTGACTTCACTGGTGCATAGGCGCCTAGATGCACTTAAAAAAAGTCTCTCCCAAGTGTATGTCCAAAGAATAATTGATTTGTTTACATTTAAAAAGATTGTGTTTCTACTACTTCCTCTTGGAGGCTACTTCTACCTAGAACATTCTATTCTAGGGTGAGGTAGGCAAAAGGAGATGTGATGCCATTAAGTACCTTATAAACAATGATTAGGGTAGAATACAAACTTAATAAATATTCTCTGTTTTACTTACTGTTTGCCACAAAGAATACCTTTAATAAATTGGATCTCATGACATCAGGAAAGAAGGAAGATTTCCACAATCTGCTGGTTCTAGCAGCTAGTTTCTCCCTTAAAAGATGAACTGGCTTTGACTAACATGTAAACAAACCAATGACACAGTCCTTAAAAAGATTCTACTTAAAGAAACAAAATCTGATGATTTTCTGATAATCTAAATAAAAATTGCAACTTCTGGGCTCAGGTATAACCACCAAAAGTTCTCAGTAGTAAACAATATTTATATTGGTTTGAAACTGTTCTCCCAGAGCCCCTCCTTCCACAGGCTTGGCTGAAAGGATCTCAAAGCTGTTTCCTAGCTGCTCCCTCTAATCCCCAGGGACAATTAGCAAAACCTCCTCCTGGAAGCTTTTTCTGCTAACTCAACAGAAACAGAGCCAGCCAGGCTCATCAGATCTCTGCATTTACCTGAAGGTCGATGTAGCCATCATCTGTGCTGGAGAGCCTCGAGTATTTCACCTTACTACTGGGGATTCCAGCAGCCAGGTTGGTGCGAGACGGCATCATAACACACTGCAACAGCTACAGTCTGAAACCAATGAAAACTGTTAATGTTTGCACGTGGCAATGGTGTGTTATAGCCAGAGTTCAGGCCTCTCAAATACCATCTATGTATGAGAGGCGTCTGGACTGCAATGTCATACCAGCAACCAGTTTAGGCTCCACAGCTTAGAACTGGATATTCCCCTGACAAAGTGAAAACATTCTCATTAGCAATTCACTTTGGTTTATTCTGGTAGGATAAGAGCTAAGACAGTGGCCAAGAACCAGAGCTCATGTTTTTCTTGCCACCACCATTCTCCTGCCTCCCAATTTGACAGTCACACAGAGAACAGGTGGAAGAGTGGTCCATCTGACATCACAGTCCATTTTCAACCATTCTGTTCTAGTGTTGCCTGTCTCATTCCCTGCTTCAGGAAAACGTGGGTGGAAAATATACTCTAGTGGCTCTCTTATTAGCTAGGGAGGGAAGTAATGGGGGTTGGAAATACACTGGCATCAGTATTTTACCCAGTTTCCCAATGGATTGACTCATCTTTTTTTTTTAAGATTTATTTATTTATTTATACAAGCACTGGGTACAATCAGAGGTGCCGGAGGGTGAGAGGATTCACCAGAGACAGAGCGGAGAGCAGAATAGGCAGACTGATGAAATACACTGCTGAGGGGAGCAGCCGGGCGGGAGGTCTGTCTGCGCCTGACTCATCCTTTTAATGCAAAGGATGTATAAACTTCCTGTTGTAAAATTGGATAAGCTACTGCTACCAGTACTTATCAGTACCTTCTGATTGCTTCTCTGTGCCACCCCAAACACTGAAAGCAGAGATTTCATTTTCCGCATTACTTCTCAAACTTTTTTTTTTGTGGGACCCTCGCCGGTGGCCGGGGACGAACCGCTGCTGCAGAGACTGCAGGCTGCCTCGCAGCCCAGCGCTCAACCACTATGCCTCCAGAGGAGGCCCTACTTCTCCAACTATTTAAAAAATTTTTTCAACTGAAATCTGGTTTTTGTTCAAAATATTCAATACTGACTTCAGTAATTAAATCACTACTTAGTCATGAGTTTAAGAGATTATAGATCCTGTGTTTGCTTCGGCAGCACATATACTAAAAGAGATTATAGATCCGATTAAAAAACAATGACATTTAGGGCCACCCCGGTGGCGCAGCGGGTGAGCGCTGGGCTGCGAAGCTGCCCGCAGCCTCTGCAGCCCTCTGCAGCGCCAGTTAGATCCCCAGCTGCTCCCCGGCCACCTGGCGAGGGAGGGTCCCACATGGCGCGCAGACCTCTCCTGCCGCCCACTGCTCCCCTCAGCAGTGTACTTTGGTCCTTCTGCCTGCTCTGCTCCCCGCTCTGGCTCTGGTGAATTCTCTCACCCTCCCGCGCTTCTGACCGTATCCAGTGCTTGTATAAATAAATCAATAAATCTTAAAAAAAAAAAAGACATGTAAAGCAAAGAATGTAATCTGTATACTTATCCTCCATAAAATCCCAAATTTAAATGAATAAAGAGTAAATCTATTTTATTCATGAAGCCAGTTGACGTCTAAAAGTGAAACATAGTTTTCAAAAAAGAAAATTAAGAATACTAGTAAGGATAACATTAAAAAAAGTATAAAAAAGGCTTCTTCTGGCATAACAGTCTGCAAATAATCAGCATCATAACAATAGTTAGCAGCTATCTAACAATGGTTAGGTGCCAGGTACTGCTGTAAGCGCTTTAAACATACTTAATCCCCAATATTAAGGAGCTGTTTTAAGTGGCGTGCAGTCACTCTAAAATAACTACCAAAACAACTACAACATGCTAAATGCTCTTGTCTAGTCAGAAATCAAATATTGAAAAAATAAGAGTGGGCCAACATATGCTTTTCTAAAGGAGTTATGTCAAACTGCGTCAAACACTAGGTTTTTAAGTACTGCGATCCCGATTATACGATCTAAATTCTTTAAATAGAAAGCTCGAAATGCTAATATGTGGGAGTGTTGCAGGTATTTAACATCCTTTGATACTTATTAGTTCTTCTTTAAAAAAGTTTACGTATTCTAAAGATTCACACACCCGCACCAAAATGAAAAAGCGCAAGGCGAGGGGCAGGGGAGACCGATGCTTACTCTCAGCAAAGAGTAAGAACCGTAAAAAAGGGGAAAAGAAAATGTAAATGTGTATTTTCAAAGTACCATCCCTAAGTTCCCAATAATCTTTTTTCTTTTCTTTTTTTCCTTTTCTTTTTTTGTTATTTGCTTGTTTGTTTGGCCCGCACCCTCCAAATTCCCACAGCACCGGAACGTTGCAAGTTTAAAAGCATCAGCCAAGCACTTCGCACCGCGCCGGGCACTCCCCAACTCCGCACACCCTGCTTTCCCGCCCGTCCCCGGACCTCGCCAGGGAGAGAAATAAACGAGCCGAATTCAGACCGAAAACTAAAACCGGCTTCTGGCAAGGGGCCCAGTCCCCGCCGCGGGGTCCCGGGGACTCGGGGCTTGATTTCCGCGGGGAGGCGGTCCCGGCGCGCCGAGGGCCGAGGAGGGCGCGTCTGCCGCCGCCCCGCCGCACGCGCGCCTTACCCGAGCGCAGCGCCAGGCCGCCCGCGCGCCCACAGCTCGCTCACGGTTGGCAGCAGCGGCGCCCGAGGCCTCATAGCGCGGCTCGCCCAACCGCCGCCCGGCGCGGCCCCGGCCCCCTCGGCGCCGGAATTGGCGTCCCGGAAGGCGGCGCGCCAGAAGTGGCGTCATCGGGGGCGCGGCCGGCTCGTCCCGCCGCCCAGGAACATCCCGCTTCCGCCACGCTCGCGCGGGGCTCGGGGCGCGCCGCGGCTGAACGGGCTGCTGGCCTTTTTTGCCGGGGTGCCTGGGTCACAATCTGGGCCCCGACGAGCGCCTACGTGGTTCTTGCCCGGACCCCAAGGCGGCAGAGCGAGCGCAGGGGCGCCCCCGTGGGCGGGGGCCGAGCCAGTCGGCGCTCCCGGGGCACATTCCCGCGGCCATGGCTGCACGTTTTCCCCGGGGTGGGGAGCGGGGCCAGGGTGCCGCGATCTCGGTGGTTTAATACCCCGACGTGCCCTCTAGAGCAGCCCCATTCCTGTGCTAGTTCCACTCTCCTCGTGATTAGAAGCTTGCCCAGACAAGAGACCCGCCCACAAGGTACATTTTCCACAAGTGACATTCTTTAAATTTTAAAGATTTATTAAGGTACAATTTACATAAAGTACAATTGAATGAGTTTTGACAAATTTAGACTCGATCCGCACAGTCTGTGTAAAATACTCATCATCTAAGAAAAGTTCCATCAGGCCCTTTTGCAGCCAATGCCCTTCCTCACCCCAAGACACAGGGCAGTGAACGCCTCTGACATGGAGGTAAACGACACAGGTAAAGCAATTCTCAGTATGTAGCAGACCAGTTTGTGCCCTTCACCTGGGAACAATTAAATAGTCTTTGTTTCACAACTGCTGGGGGCTTCTCACTTTCCCGGTTGAACGCAACATACATGGAATGTAAGCCGTCTTCAGCCCTTAGGAGGATAAATCCCAAACAAGGCTATTTATACTGAAAATATTATTTTTACATTCTTTGGACCTTATCCAGACGTACTAAAACTTCTATGCTTCTTGCAAATGGCTCCCTAGGCTAATAAAAAACAAAACAAAAAACCCACCTTTCAGTACAATAAACATCTGAGGAAAGTTAGTTTTTGCTAATAATGACAAAGTAATGCAATATATAGGATTTGCTCTTTCTCCTGCTCATTTCTTGAGCTCATTAGATATCAAACTGGCAAATGAATCCCTTAAAATCTCATCCACTGTAGTATTTGAAATACTTTTAAAATTGTTATAACTAATGTATTTATATCAAGTTGCTCTAGACGGAAAACAAAAACAAAAACAAAAAACAACACATTTACAGGAAAGGGTAAATGCCCTATAATATCCGTAACAGTAAGGGTCCAAATGAAGGCACGGTCCTGTGATACTTGAATTCCAAACAACTTTTATTAAAATTGAAAGCATAATTCTTAAAACTATTGAGTCAAAACCTTTGTTAAGAAAAAAAAAAACAAAAAACTCATGGTATATTTTTCAGTAAGGTAGAAGTATTTCTAGGTTAACACAAAGATGACTTTAAACTTTACCCTTTAAATTGTAGAGAACAAAGGAAAAAAACATATTTACAGAAAACATTATCTACATATGTACTTAAGAGGTACAAATTTGGTGACAGATGAAACTTTAGTAAATGCTGGCATTTCAGAAGCAGTTCTCAAAATTTTATCTTCTTAGATTTTAAGAATGCCTAAGAACCTTCTTCATCTTCAATCTTGGGGGCCAAATAGTACTTTAAGTGTCCCATATCAGCAATTTTATATTCCACAACTGGAAGAAGAACACAGTTAATTACTGAGAAGTGCCACATATACTACTTACAAAATAAGATCCAACAAATTTATAATCTTACCAAGGGGTACGTCTGCAGACATACTGAGTGTTACTGTAGGAGATAGTGGAGTGGCTTTTGTAAAGAAGTTCAGGTACCTCAGTGCAAAAGTTAGCTGAACTGGCTCGTTCATCTCTATGGCAACCTAAGGGAGAAAAGATACATCATATTGAAAAACATCAAGAAAGTTGCACCCATTTGTTTATAACACTTAAAAAAAAAAACACCTTTAATGGTTCCTCTGGAAGGTGTTCTGTAAACAATTTTGAAGAAGTGTACATAAAGGCAATATTAGTCTGCCTTTCCTATATGTACTGTATCTCAGGTAACCAAATGTGATAAAAGCTTCCTTATGGAAATATTTCTAATAGACCCATTAGAAAAAAAAAAAAAAAAGGAATGTTAAATATATTAATGTATTATAACTGCAAACCCTAATTACCTAACTAACCTAGACAATGACTATGGTTGCTAATATCACAAGATATCCAGACCATAAATCATTCTAGCTCTTCCACTCCAAAAACAAAAACACCCTGTCAGCTAGCCGCTAGAGCCATAGCTACGAGTCTGTAAGAAATAGGAGGTAGGGGAACATACTGACATAAGGAATACAACTGACAAGTCTAGGTTCCAGGTGGACAGGGAGGAAAATAAACAAATGGCAGAACCAAAGGACTGAAGTAAATTTTAGGGGCTTATCAACCAACTGCAATGTACAAACCTTTTAAAAATCTTGACTCAAATGGTTTTGAGGTAACCAAAGAAATAGGAAAACTGAAAACATTCTCAACCTTGAGCAATTCTTAGATGTTATAAAGTTTAATATCTCTATTTCAGATTATTAAAATATGTCTGATCTAATGTTTTGAGATTAAAAAAAAATCAAGGTTGGCAGGGGAGCAAAACGTAATTTAGGAGACAGATGAAAGTCAGAATTATCCCTTGGGTTTTTTCTTAAAAAAAAAAAAAAAAAAAAAAAAACTGAGGGTTGATTACTTATACAAGGGACAAGAATATCTAATATTTACTATAAACTTAGAATAGGCCAAACACTGTGTTTTAAACACTTCAAATGTTAACTCTACTGCATCTGAATATCCTGTGCAATAAGGGCCTTTACTTTATTATAGCAGCTCAAACAAACCCAGATAAGGTAAAATTGTGTTACAATTCTTTTCAAAGTATTTTCTATTTACTTAAAAAACAGACTTACAGCTTCCTCCTCTTTATCAACATTACTTGTCTGTGACAACTTAATATTTCCATTTCCAAGTTCTCCACTTGCAGAAAATTTCACTCCATCTTTTGCACAGGAAATCACAACAGCATCTCCAATATGACTCAGATCTCTGCATATACGTGCAAATTCACCTGAGGGCATCTTTACTACACAGCTATACTCTTGTTCCTATAAAACAAACAAAAAATATTTAAGGACAAAATGCTGGAAATTAAAGAGTTGGCACCTTTACTTTTTGAAGAATCAGCATCTAAAAACTAACACAGAATTCAAAAATATGCTGATTGTTTTAAAGTATCACTTTGTGTGATTTCTTAACACATCCCAATCACTTACAAGTATATTTTAAAAATAATCACACCAAAAATTCAAGAGCTTAAACCTTTACCAACAATGCATTCATTATTCAGAGAACAAGAGCCTCCCCCTAACGCAAGAGGACATCAGGGTGTGTCATACAAAGACAGTGTGCAAGCAGGCCAACCTGCTTTCCACAATGAAATGTGATAATAAGCATTTTAAACAGCCTAACTTTTTTCATCTTATCTAATACTGACTAACCTTAACAAAGTTCTGCCAACTTAGCTTCAAAATCTACTCACTGTAAACCAAGCATTCCAGGAATAAAGAAGCTAATGGAAGTGAATGCAAATATGCACTGGCAGCAATGAATTCAGCCAAAGAGCTGTAATTTAATAAAATGACAAATATGTCCATCTGAATTAAATACTAAAACTCCATTGTGGAACACACACCAGTAGATATACAGAAAAATTTCTGTTAGGAACCTGCCTTTGTATTTTATACTTATTTTTTGGTTTATTCCAAAGTTTAATAGCCGGGCTACAACTCATTTAAATCTTTTAAGCTGCAGACATACTCTTTGCGTTGATAAACAGCAATATTTCTCTTGTTCATTTAACTGCTAAACAAGCATTTATTGCATGCCTAAGTTATATAATTAAACGTGGAGGGGAAAAAACTCTCAAATTCTAATAGGATCAGTCAGGAGGTCAGGGGTGGGGGGGTTGTGTGTGTGTGTGTGTGGGGGGGAAGTGCTATCGGAGGGGCTATAGCATGACAAAGGACAGTGCCGAGGTAGACAACAGGTCACTGTCTAAAGAAGTTGCCTTTAAATCGGTATCTTACGTATCTCAACTATACACAGTATATTCAATCAGAAAAATTTTGATACTTACTGGAATTCCAAGTTGTTCAACATCTAAATCCATTAATTTCATTTCATAGTCTGAAACTTTTTCTTGATCTACCAAGAGAAAGCATACGATAAAGTGTGTAAGTTTAAAATAACAAAAAGATGAATTTTATAAGAATCACAAACATGGGCCTCCCTGGTGGTGCAGGGTTGTTAAACTATCAGTGCAATCAAACTATCACCATCCACTGTGGCAAGAGTTCGATCCAGGGAGCTGACCCACATGGCACAGCAGACCTTTCCTATTTCACCCACTGCTCCCCTCAGCAGTGTATTTCAGTAGGTCTGCCTGTTCTGCACCCCACTGTGTCTCTGGTGAATCTTCTCACCCCCACAGCTCTGGCCTACAGACCCAGTTCTATGCATAAATAAAAATATCTTTTTTTAAAAAAATCACAAACATGTTAAATTTCTCACAATTTTGAGCAGTGCTGACACTGAATTTTCCTTTTCTTTAGCATAACTCATTAGAAGAATCTGACTTACTTGGAGCTTCAAATACTAGTGCCAAGGTGTCTGCATTATCTTCAGCCCTTAGTGTAATGATGTCTTCATTGCCAGCACATTTTAGTATTTTGGACATACTAGAACACAGAAGACACAGGGGTTAAAATTAGCACTATCTTAAGATGGTCTGATGTCTATCGCAATTAAAACAAGGAGTTCCCGTTTTAACTAATTAGGCTGTCGGGTGAATTGGAGCGAGTGAGGAGAAAGTAGTAAAGGACAATGCATAAACCGGTGTCCATTCGTTCTGGAGTACAATCAGGTAGGAATTCTATTAAATTAAAAAGCCCACATCCTTACATCAACAATATCACTTTTGGATGTAAATGAGCTAAAGCGGGTGAAATAAGTTGTTGACCTGCGATCATTAAAAACGACCTAACAAGGGCCTCCCTGGTGGCGCAGCGGGTTGAGCACAGCACCGGTTCGATTCCCGGCCAGCCAGGAAGATACCCACATGGTGCAGCAGACCTCTCCTGTCTCACCCGCTGCTGCCCTCAGCAGTGCTTTCGGTCCGTCTGCCTGTTCTGCTCCCTGCTGTCTCTGGTGAACCCTCTCACCCTCCCACGCCTCTGGCCTGTACCCGGCTCCTGTATAAATAAATCTTTTTAAAAAACCAACAACGGGGCCTCCCCTGGTGGCGCAGCGGTTGAGCACTGGGCTGCGAAGCTGCCCGCAGCCTCTGCACCTCCAGTTCGATGCCCGGCCGCCAGCGAGGGTCCCACATGGCGCGCAGACCTCTCCTGCCACGCCCGCTGCCCCCCTCAGCAGTGTATTTCGTCAGTCTGCCTGTTCTCTTCCCCACTCTGGCTCTGGTGAATTCTCTCACCCTCCCGCACTTGTGACTGTACCCAGTGCTTGTATAAATAAATAAACAAACAAATAAATTAATTAATCTTTAAAAAAAAATAAAAAACCAACAACGACCTAACAAGTCCATCAAGACACACGGCCCGTGGGGTGGGCAGTTCTCATAAGCTTTTAAAACTTTAAATACATATATGGAGAAAACCGCTTCAAGTTCAGGATTTTAGGGTGCTCATGGGAGCTTGGTGACAATTTTTAAAGCCCAGAAATAACATTACCCCTGAGCAGGGTAACAGGACTAGGGCACTTCATAAAACAGCCAAAGTCAGCCAGGACCAAGGTTTCACATTCAAAGTCGCCGGTTCCCAGTGACCCAAGCGCCCTGGGAGACACTTTGCCAGGCTCCGCGGAGAGGCCATCATTTTCCCGCCACCTTCCGCTTTGTGACTTTGGCGCGGAAAGGGCCGGGTGGCGCGGCCTCCAGCGCGGGCTTTCGGGACGGCGCGTTCCGCTGGGCCCGCCCCCCCGGCGTCGCGGGCCAATGAGAGGGCGCGGACGGCCCACGCCAGCCAATGAGCGGCCGTCTTGGCGGCTCTCCCGCCAAGAGCCTAGGGAGGGGGTGGCAGGGGGGCCCGGCTCCCCGCCGCCCCGGGACTCACCTGGTGAGGTTCACGCCCATGGCCAGATTGCGGTCGCAGCGGTACGTGTCGAAGCCCTCGGAGCGCAGGGTGAGCTGCACCAAGGAGACATGGGACGAGTCCATGCTCTGCAAGTTCACGCCGCTCGAGCTGATGTCCCAGCAGGCCTCATTGATGAGATCCTTCAGCGCCTCCAGCACCTTCTTCAGGATGGAGCCCTGGACCAGGCGCGCCTCGAACATGGTGGCGGAGTCACAACGACGCAGCTACGGGCGGCGAAGAGGTGATCGGGGCAGCCGACTCGGGCCTCGCAGGAAGAGCGCCAACGCCGAGTGACAGCAGGAGCGGCGAGAGCCCGAGACGCGGGAAGCGCACAACTAGCCCGCCGCGCCGGCGACCGTTTAATACCCCCGCGGCCGCGGACGCGCGCTCTCCGCCTACGCGCCCGGGGCGACACGTCACCACGCAGCCCCGCCCACAGCCTGGGCGGGGACACTTGAGGACCAATCACGCGTCTGGACCTCGAGCGGCGGCTACATTCCCGGAACTCCGATTGGAGGAGGGGGTGATGGAGGCCGGGCGGGGCGGAGCGGTGTCTGGCAGGATGCCCCGCCTCCTTCGTCTGGTTCTGGAACCTGGGCGCCGGACGTGTCCGGGCGACCACGCGAGCTGGGGCCCGGCCGGGGGTCGTCGGCTTCCAGCTTTGTGGCACCTCCTCTGGCCTCCCGCTTCGGGAACAGAAAGTTTTCTACCGCAAGAGTGGAAGGGAAATGCAAATCCAGCCTACCGCGAGGAAAAGCCGTCTTGTAGCCCGCAGAATAGAGATGCTCTGAAAGTGCACCGATTTGTGCTTTTGTAGAGGGGACACCCCTAAAAATCGTCAGATAAAAAGGTTTATAGTTTTGGTTTAAAGAGAAGGTGTCTCGGTTCCCCACTACCATCGCTTAACTCGCCGCCCGCCAATCAAACTCGTATAATCAGTCGTTGATTGATTGACGCAGCTTCCTAAGCTTTGTTTTATGCACACGTTTTAAAAAAACGGTGGATTCATACCGGAGGCACCAACGCGGTGCACTATATCTACCTATTAAAATCATAGACTGACATCTTATGTTTGTAATCTGAATTGCCAATTTCTTGTAATTAGAAACACCATTGGGCACTTAGGTGATTTGTGGGCAAACAACTCCTTGTGGTAGAACCGCTGAGTTGAAGAGCCTGCGTATGAAATTTTTGCTGTTACAAAACTGACCTCTGAAAGACGGTAATTTACATTGAATATTACAAATTGTTACAGGTTAGACATCTTTCATATATTTCTTGACCATTGCATGTTTGTATTTTTTTAAAGATTTATTTATTTACTCATACAAGAACTAGGGTACAGGCCAGAGATATGGGGGGGGGGGGGTGAGAGGATTCACCAGAGACAGAGTGGGGAGGGGAGCAGGAGGCGAGATAGGAGAGGTCTGCTGTGCCAAGTGGGAATCTCCCTGGCCAGCCGGGGATTGAACTCATGCTGCAGAGGCTGCTGATAGCTTCACAGTGCTGTGCTTAACCCTTGCGCCACCAGGGAGGCCCTGTTTATATTTTTTATTAAACTTTTTCCTACTGGTTAAATGGACCTTCATATATTTGTTAATCATTTCCATATTATATATACCCCCTTTAGTATTTCTCTTGTTTTGGTTACAGCATCCATCACTCTTTAGTTGTGTTTAATATCTTATGATCTGTAGAATTTTTCAGTTCTTCTACCATGTACCTAGGTGTGGATTTAGTTTCATTTATCACTTGTGCATTTTGTGTTCCTGAATCAGAAGATTCCTGTATTTCATCAAATCTACAATATTCTCAACCATTGTGACTTCAAGTATTGCCTTTCTACTCTATTCTCCCTCTGGCATTTCTATTAGATATTTATATTTTGTTAAATTTAAGATACCTTCTGTTGTAAGGGACACCATTATTTTATATAGTACAAGAAAGAAAATAAAATCTCAAATTACCATTTAGGATTTATTTTGTAATTGAAAGAAGTTTAGGCTTTTAAAAATATTTTATCATGTATCACACTTGTGCATACATACACAAAATTAATTGGTTTAGGCTTTCCTAATATTTTTCCAGACTTAGTTTCCCCGTTCAGTTGCTGATAGTGCTGTTTCTGTATAAGATTATACCCCATTGTCAAGGATATTGTCATTGGAATTTCCTACAAGTCTCTTGTAACCATTTGCAAATTTCTGGTCATTTCTGGACCTGAAAGATCAGACACCTCTTGGGGAAATTAAGGTTTATTATATAAAGGACCTGGAGGGACATCAACACAGAAGGAGCTTCAGGGTCATCCTCTGAGACAGGTGGAGGTGTCCCTATGCAGATCCTCACCTTTAGGAGCACATAATTGAGGAATGTCACATTCCATGGGTGAGCATAACGTTAGTCTTAATGGAAGCTCACCTGTTCCCTTTCAAACCGACTAATATAAAAGAAGATGGAGAACAGGGGCACATAGATCAGAGTTACAGAATACAAAGTATGAATTACTTGAGTAGATAACTCGCTACACTTTGGCCTGAAAAAACTTCTCATCACACTCAACCATCCCAGGATAACAGATCTCAGAATAAGATCTCAGAGTAAGTTGTGAAGTTAGTACTGTGAAGAACAGAAATGAGGTACTCGACTTCTAGAAGTCATGCTAACAAGCCTGGAGGCCAGCATGATCTTTTTAAACATGCTATTTTTTTCAACCTAGAATACTCTTGACTCTGCAGCTAGCTTTACCAGTAAAATGCTAACTCATTGGAGAAGACTTCTCTGAATATAGGTCCTAGCCATTTCTGTCCTCATTTCCTTTGATTCATGTGCATTATGGGTAATGATAATTTAATATTATTTCATAATAATTGCTATATTTAAAATGTCTTTAAATGGATTACACTTTGACTTGGCATTAAACCAAAACATTATGTTATAAGCAGAAAGCACAGAAACAATAGCACAGCATACATTTGTTGATGGTGATGCAAACATTCCTCACTGGAAGAAGGATCACAATCCACATTTTGCAAAGGAACTGAGAGATACTAAGGGGACTTTGAAAGGAAAATGCCCACAAATAGATGAAACTATTTTAGGTTTTGATATTGAGATACATGCAAAAGGATGATCCCACATAATGCAAGAAAATGCCAGCATCAAAATTTACATTTTGCAAATTTTGTAATAATGGTCAAAATGAACACACAGCCCTCAACAGACTGTTTTAAAATTATGAATGTTATTTACTTTTATAAATAAACAAAAGACCCAATAGAACACAAAAGCAAGCTGACTAAACTATGAGCTGAAGGAAAACTGGTGTCCAAAAAAAAAAAAAACAAACCAACAAAAAAACCCTCAAGTCTTTGTGTAATGTAGTTAATACGAAGCAAAGCATATTCCCTGTAGCCATTGTTCCTCCTCACCTATTTTAATGTCATTTTAAAGTACTGTTACAGGAATTTGGGAATATATGCTCATAGAAATCAGGAAGATTTAAGGCACTTCTCAGGATTCTCATACCTTCCTAAAAACCCACAGCTCAGGTTAAAATTGCCAATATGAAAGTACTATTCGTGTGTGTGCAAGCTTCTCCTAAAAATATAACCTGCCGGCTTCCAGGGGCCTAGGGTATAAGTCTCCACGGTATCACCACTGCAGCCTGAGTTAGATCCCAGGCCAGGGAGTTAATTCGCACTTGGCACAGCAGACCTATCCTGTCTCCACTGCTGCTCCCCTTTGCAGTGTATTTCAGTAGATCTGCCTGTTCTGCTTCTCACTTTGTCTCTGGTGAATGTCTCACTCCCTGCACCTCTGGCCTGTACCCCAGTTCTTGTATGCATAAATACATTTTAAAAAATCTTTAAAAAAATTACAATATGCTTAAGGGAAGGGACCTTATTTTATACTTGCTTTACATCACTTAAAAGGCAGCAAGTAGGAACCACTGAGGGCAGTATTTGCACAACACTGGGATTAGCAACGAGTTTAGTTTAGGGAAGCAGACAGTAAATACAATGGTTAGTGTGTGTTTTGGTAACAGATCTGCGCTCTGATTCTTACTGGACACTTTCTAGCCGCACGAGCTTGTCTAAATTATTTTCCTTCGGGAGAAATTTAAAATCTATTCAACAAATATTTAGGATATGCCAGGTACACAAGGAACCTGGCAGTGAACAAAAGGGACAGCTTTTCTGTCCAAAAGTTTCAACAGTGCAGAAGGCAGAAATGTGAAAAACAGCGGAATATCTCATCTGTAAAATAAAAATCACATCCCCTTCCAAGCGGAGTAGATGTGCTACATAAAAGCGATTATTTAGTTCAATTCCTAGGGTATAATTAACGCTCAATAAGTAATAAAAACAAGCTCGGCAAAGGAACACAGGGTCTCACTTCACACTGATGCTTTCCTTTCACACAGGTGGGTTCCTCGGGCCTTTCCATTTAGGGCCAAACAAGCGTCCACTTAAATGAGTGAGGGAAGAACTCTGGAAGCGGTAGACACCAAAGCAAGGGCAGTCAGCCCGACCGTAACAGAGCGTCGGCCACAGCATCCGCCTCCCAGCAACTCCCTCTTGCAAGCAACGCGGCAGCGCCTGCGGGCTAGGGTCAGAACGAAACCTCCTATTGGCTCATCTCCCTAGACGCCCCGCCTTTCCCCGCCCCCTCACCCAGCAGCCAATGGGCTTCTCGCCACCAGGCCCCGCCCCTCCCGCCGCCCCGCCCCCTGTAGATTGGCGCCGTTGGTGGAGCTCCGGGTGGCGATGGCGGCGGCGCGCGTGCGCGCTCGCCCCGGGACCCTCCTTCCGAAAGGAGGAGCGAGCCGGCGGGCGCTGGGAGGCCGACCGCCTTCCGCCCGGGTGAAAGGGCGGCGGCGCGCTGGGCGGGGCCGAGTTCCTGGGCTGGAGGCCTGGCTGCGGTGGGGCCTGCGAGCCGCCGGGAGCCGGGAGCCGTGAGCCGCTCAGGCGGGGCGGGGCTGGCCGAGCGGAGTCCGCGCGCCACCGCGTTGAGCTGCCGGCTCTGGCGGCTGCGCTGCCCGCCCGCCGCGACGCCGCGCCGGGGGCTCCAGCATGTCGGAGCTGAGGCAGAGAGGGGCCCGCGAGCCGGACGCACTGCCCGAGGACAAGGTAGCGCAGCATCGCCGGGGTGGGCGCGCCCGGAATAGCGGCCCCCCCCCCGGAGGGGTGCCGGGGGCGCGCGCGCAGCGGGGGTCTTCTGACCCTCTGACCCTTTGTCGCGGCCGATGGCGACACCCGGCCGGGGCACCCCGCTGGATTCTCGGGTGCAGGGCCCCAGCGCGGCGTGCGTCAGGGGTCGGCAGGTTGGGGTTCCCCGGTACACGGCTCCGGGGGCGGAAGGGGGGTGCTGTGCCCAGAGCGCAGGGTGGAGCGCGCGGGTGGTGGCGCACCTCCGCCTGCCTCGCCGGGCTGGTTGGGGGGTCCACCTCCAGCCCCCCACCTGCCCGAGGCCTTTATGGGTGTGATAACGTCAAGAGCGAGTAAAGGCTTTTCTGGTCGGCGACCACTCTGAGTCCGATTTCGGATTTCCGCTCTTCTTTTAACATTTTGGCCCGAGGGGATGGGGTGGGGGCGGCGGGTATTACTAAGACGAGCCTCTTAGGAGATTTAAAGCGCTTTTTGAAAGTTAAACCCGTTAGCTTTAAGCAGAGCGGTCCCTTGACTCACGCAGTCTGCAGGTGCTGGAAAGTATATTCCCAGTACATGGTCTTGTTTCCTGCTTCAAGTGTGGGCATTGGTGGGGTAGAGTGGAGGGTTAAAATAGAGGCCATCTTGGTGGGGATATTGCTGCTTGGGGGGTGAGGCTTGAGGGGGAGGGAGAGGACACCTTTTGTTGAAGTGAAAGGTTTGTGTAGGGGAGTGGAGAAGGGGTGAGTGGTCGTATTACCTAGACGTTGAGTGACAGCATAAGGTTTGGGTTGTAGTTGCGTTATTAGTGATCAAGAGCTGTGTATTTGGTAAATTGATCTGGCAGTGATGTATGATGAACTGAGGGAGCCTGGATCAGACCGAGAAACTGGTTGTCTTGGGGCTTGCCAACTGGCGACCTGCCTGTTGCTTTGGTCCACATGTTATTTTAAAAATCGGGAGATTCTCTTGATCAGAATATCCTGCCCATCTTGGGTAATTGAAAGATCTGCCATCACATTCCCACCAGATAAACATTTGGCTGAAACTGATAAACATCTGTTCCCACCAATCCCTGTTGCCTTACATTAGGTCCCCAACACCCCTTTATGTAGCTTGAATTTTTTGATAACTGGAGGAAAGGGGCATTAGGAGACATTAGGAAGGAAGAAAGCACAAGATTTGGTGACGGTGTCAACAGAACAGTTATAGTAGGAGGATGTTTTGGGTGAAAGTGAGGTTTTGCAAAGCTTTTTTTGCAGAATGGCTCATCCAAGTACAACACTTCATGTAAATTTTGTGGAAAATTTAGTATTTTGGTGCATGTTTGGGAGTTGCTTACAGAGATAAGTTACTGTGAAGTCTTTAATTGAAGGTTTAATGGGATCTTCCCATTAATATTCTGATTCTACCTAAAAGAACTCTGCCTACCCTTCCTATATTAGCTGGTGAGTATACAGATGTTAGGAGGCTGTGGGGCCCTTCTTAAGAGTAAGAGAGCAGACTTGATGTTAATGGGAGTTTATGGACTTAGCAGGTGTGAGAAGGAGAAGGCAAAAAAGATAGGCTAGGTACTGGTCTATATTTTTGAAATACTGTTTTTAATGATTACACATTTACTGTTAAAAATAAATAAATACCCTTTTCTCCAACTGTGGGGTTATGAGGTGAAACAAAGTTTCTACCCTCCCCACCCAACTCCTTGGATCCACCCTCCAGGAAAAAAAAATGCCTATTGCTTCTTAAATATTTTCTCATCCAAGGACATAAGGAGCTGTCCAGCTAAAGGTGCCTTGATTTTGTACAATTCACTTTATTATTTTTTTTTTAATTTTTTTTAATTTTTTTTATTTATAGAGGCATGTTTTATTTATTTATTTGTTTGTTTGTTTGTTTTGTTTATACATGTACTGGGTACAGTCAGAAGCGCGGGAGGGTGAGAGAATTCACCAGAGCCAGAGCAGGGAGCAGAGCAGGCAGAAGGACCGAAGTACACTGCTGAGGGGAGCAGCGGGCGGCAGGAGAGGTCTGCGCACCATGTGGGACCCTCCTCGGGTGGCCGGGGAGCAGCCGGGGATTGAACCGGCGCCACAGAGGCCGCGGGCAGCTTTGCAACCCAGCGCTCAACCGCTGCACCACCGGGGAGGCCCTACAATTCACTTTAAACTACTTATATGATGATAGGGTACTTGGGATTTTCAGGTTTGCTAAGTGCATGTTTCTCCCTAAAACACAGCAACTACTGCATGCTGTTAAGAGTCTTATGTAGTCCATTAACCCAGAACAAGGCAATCAGATCTTCATCCCATCACTTAACATTTCCAAATTATCATGTATAGGATTTTTAATAGTAAAGATACATTTTAAAAGTGTGAAATGTCTTATTTGCTTTCGATGAATGTATCTAGTAGAGTTTTGAAAATACTGATTTCATAGTTTGAAAAAGCCAGAATCTGTATGATTCTGGCTTTGCTGATACTCTTATATTAGATCTTTAAAAAATCAGAAATAATAAATCAGGAAAATCATTTAGGGAAATGAATTGTGTATTGGGGGAAATTTCTTAGTTCATAATAGACATCAGAAAACTATAAGGTCAATTTATTAAGAGAACTTGACAAATTTCAGTGATTCTTTAAAATATAGTTGCTTAAGTGCTGTGGCAAAATTAAGTAATCATTAATTTCAAAATAATCTGCAGAATTTGTTTATTATAAAAGTCAGAAGGTATTGTGTTATTTTTAGTATCCTAGAATGGGTTCAGAGCCAATTACTAATAAAGGAAATGTTTTCCTCTGGGACCATGCTTATAATTTTTTTGGCTCTTTTTTTTTTTTTTTTTTTTTTTTATAGAGGCATGTTTTTTATTTATTTATTTGTTTGTTTGTTCGTTCGTTTTTGTTTATACATGCACTGGGTACAGTCAGAAGCGCGGGAGGGTGAGAGAATTCACCAGAGCCAGAGCGGGGAGCAGAGCAGGCAGAAGGACCGAAGTACACTGCTGAGGAGAGCAGCGGGCGGCAGGAGAGGTCTGCGCGCCATGTGGGACCCTCCTCCGGTGACCAGGGAGCAGCCGGGGATCGAACCAGCGCCGCAGAGGTCGCCGGCAGCTTCGCAACCCAGCGCTCAACCGCTGCGCCACTGGGGAGGCCCATGCTTATAATTTTTAAGTCCAAAGCACAGTATTGTTGCCAAACTAAGGAACTTGGAATTTAAGTTTTGGAAATCACCCTTTTCCTGCCCAACCATGTTTTTCCCGTGGAGTTTAGGAATTAAAAGGATAAAATGTGGGCCGAAAGATTGGCATCCTAAAATTTATGATTAGAAGAAAAAAATATATGATTAGGTTGGCGTTTCAGGAGGCTTTGTTTTGGAGGTTATTATGGAGGTTCTGGGGTTTTCTGCTGTACTTAGATGCTGGAGTGCTAATTAGACTTGTTTACTTGTTCTGAGTCTTCCTTTCTAGCTCATGAAACCAGAATGGAGAGGAAATAGTGACATCATTTAGAAAGGGGAGTTTAAATTTTAATTGAAGACAGTGGTTAAGCACAGGGGCTTAAGAGTCACCTCCATCCATCTTGAGACTTGACTCTGCCACATATCAGCTGTGTAACTGAGCAAATCATGTAACTTATATAAAGCCTCAGTTTTTCCATCTCTAAAATGGGGGTAATAAGATAGCATGTGCTTCAGAGGATAGTTATATGGATTAGGTGAGCAGTATCTTATGTATAGTGGGCAGGAATTGTCACATTGTAATAAAGTGTTAATTTATTGTTACTAGCTGAAATATATAGTTTTATAGAACCAAATCCTAATGTTTACCTTTTACTTTTGGAAGGTGATTAAATCTTGAAGTTGTAAGTGTTTGGGGTAGTCTTTCCTATTCAGCACCTTTTAAAAAAAGTTTTAGACACTTGACAGGTGACCAAACCCTATCTTTTTAGTTCATTTTTTTACTGAAATTTTCAGTGCTCAGGATCATAATCAAGCTTTAACCATATTAGGAGCATCATTATATGCAGTTGCCTTCCTTTCTATACTAGTTGTAATATATCTTAGGAAAATGGTACATAATTATAAATGGTTTTCTGGTAGTCTTTGAGTGAACAACTGAATAAAATCTTATTTTAGGAGCTGTAACTGCTGTAGATATGGGGGAAATGTTAACTTGCAAAAAAATTTTTTTTCACTGAGAAATAATATGGCTATTGAAAAAAACCAGGACTTCCTTTGTGGGTGGTGGCCAGTTTAGAGAGCGCACCATGAATGAGTTGGGTACAGTGGCAGAGTACAAGGTGGTGGGTGTTGCCTGCCCATCTCAGACTCTGCCCGCAGCCCCTTTACTGAATATGAATCTCCCACTCCCCACCAAAAACACACACATCAGCAAATGCTGCTTCTGGTACTTTGTGTCTCAGCTGAAGAAGATGGAGAAGACTAAAAGGGATATTGTCTGCTGTGAGCAAGTGTTTGAGAAGGAACCCCTGTAGTGGCATCTGGCTGCATTAGGGGTCCCATGGAGGCAGCCATAAGTTGGACTGGGAGTTCTGGAACCAGACCAATGCAAGGTGCCCAGTGCTGCCTCCTGTGCCAGCTTCACTTCCATCAGATCTTGAAGGTGGAGATCGCTGGTGGTCAAGCAGTTATTCCATGACTCTAAGATCTTAAGTACCTGCTGCCCTGCCCCACCTGGTCCAGTTCTGTGTCACCAGTACAAGCCACACTCACCATCTACTTGCATTTCCAACACCTTTTAAATGCAGAGCCCTCCCCGGACTGGGTCTGCCCAGATAAACTCCTTGGGAAACCAGGAAAAAACAAAGAAAAACTAGTAAACTTTAATTGTGGTTTTCAGACTTAAACAGGGAGAGAAGATAAAATTGACTTGTCATATAACCCAACAATTTAAGTGGTTTATGTTGATCAGATGGTATAATTTCATCTTAAATTTTATGACTACTTTAAATTGTTTATTCAAA